GAAGGTGGAGGAGTCCCTGCGATGTATTGGCAGAGGCCACACATATGGAGGGTTCACAATTTGAGTTTATTCCACAAGGATCAAAATGCAATGGAGATGTCACCAGGAGGCGACATGGTGCAGCGGATCGTGGTGGAACAGTTCGATGACAATGCAATACACACGGCCTAGACCCGTAAGGGACTAGATCATACGGAGGTATGATCGGGAGCTACTGGAAGCTCCACTTCGGTGAACAACACGACGGCAAGAAGGGCTATGGATTCAAGGAGTGAAGGCCATGGTACCGCAGAGGCGGGTCTTCCGTGCGTGCATCGAATTTTGCATCGGATGAAAATCTTAGTCATCAGCATATGGGGGCTGTGTTCCACCAAAGGAAAAGTTCGAATGCAAGTACCAGTGAGTTCCATGGGAGGGACTTGATCATGCAGAGGTATGATCGAAGCAGCTGGAGAGTTGGACTGCTCCAGAGCTCATATTCGCTTAAGGGAGCCCGGTAAGTCAGAGGACAAGGTCGAGTAAGCGAACGTTGCTACCAAGGAAGCTAAGGAGAACAGAATCGGTGCAAACCCGACAACGTGATGGCAGAGGCCATGTATGGGAGTTGCAGTCTGTCTTTCCATCGACCAAACGGACTGCTTGGAGAACACAGAGGTGTTGAAGCAGGGGGTCGAAAGGGGCGAGGAAGCAACGACGAGTCCAGAGGGACTTAGCTACCCAAAATCAAGCATCAGTTAGAATGGAGGTGGACTCAGAGGAGTGCCACGGAGACATATCTACTGATCATAAAGAAAAGGGATGCAGATGCGAGGCGACGGATAGTAGGGCCATGGGCATGACAACGCCATGGTACCGCAGAGGTGGGACTTCCGTGAAAGTCATTGATCCCTTGCTCTCATGAGGGAGAGCGCTTGGTCGTGAAAGGGGCCGAGGAGGTGGAGCATGCAGAGGCAATCTCCAAGTACCGAGACAAGGCTGAAGGGCAGAGGCCGAGGAACTTCGTAAGACCGGTGTCAATGAGCTTCTCATCAAGTTAGCCGAAAGTGAAGGACTTCGGGTCATGCAAGAGTGCATAACCATGGAACGAAGCAGGCAGTACGCGGTGTTGTACCTTTGCTACTCAGTGGAGTCGGCGACAGGGTTGATGGAGAAGACTGTACAATCCCAGAGGCGACCAAACCTATGAGAGAATTACTCCAAGTTGGGGTGAAAACTTCCTGCATTCCAGAAGTTCGATGGCATTGAGAAGGTGAATCACAGTAGCTAACTCAACGCAAGGAGTGCAAACACTTCAAGTGCTTCAGAAGTGTGAGCAAAGAGCAGGCGAAGGCTAGTAACCAGCACGATGTATGGAGTACAACCTCGAGGAGGCGGGCGAAGTCAAGTAACCTTTGCCTTCTCAACTCTTAAGAGAATGGGCGAAACCGAGTACCCCAATTCTCTTATCTATCCAGTAGAGGAGCTCTGTATAAGTTCAAAGACCCTTCGAAGATAATGGAAGATAATAGTTGTCAAATCCTCACCAACGGTGATCAGTGCTACTGAGAGTAGATTGTCCGCTTTATTTCCCAACGTAATGCCAATCGAAAGCGGAAGTGATGCGAACCTACTTGGATGTGACAACTAAGTGAAAGAAGAGTCAATGAGCAAATTTTGTGGAGGAAGGACCCAAAACTTCAGAAGTTCGCGAGACGATGCTCGTTAAAGCTCCAACAAGCATCCAACCAGTTCAAGCAGCATGAGAAATTCGAGAGACTGGCGCAGTAAGGATGGTCTTTTCCTTCATCTGGGGGATCCACAGGAATTAACAAGGATCAACACAACTCAGCCAACCCCACACCAGAGTCAGAGTCATTGGTGAGTTGAAGCAGCATGGCGGATCAAAGGTTCGACTACCCAAAAACAGCAGCGGAGAGCAACAAGGAGCCAAGAGGCGCATTGTAGCTGGAGCAGAAGATTGAAGACTCAGCAAAGGCGAGGAGTTGCAGTGTCGACAAAGGCTTCAACGAGGACGCCGAAGGAATAAGTGAGGGAGAATGTCACGGACAAACTTCGAAACAGGATGTTTGATGTAATGCTTATGTATGTCCGTGTCTTTTGGCATGTTAATGCCTTATACAGCATGTAGAGGGGCGGCCGAAGGCTTAATAGTCCCATTTTAGTTGGGTTGGTGGCCTCTTTAGGCTTGTAAATAAAGGTTGTGTCATGTGGACACGTGCGAGAGATTTTCGGTCTGTAATGGACCATTTTACCCCTTTGTTGTGCCACTGTTCAGAGCTTGTAAAGTCTGTTTGTAATTTGCATTGTCTATGAAGTGTTTTTCGGAGATGTTTGCTTGTGGATCCCGATTGAAGTGTTCTCTCTAACCCGTTCTTTCTTTTGTTGGTCCTAAGGGACAATGGGAGGCTTCGGGGAGGCTGACCTTTGCGGACGGACACGCAAGGGTGCCGCACGACTTAGGCAAAACCAGCTAAGTCCGTGACAGCTCGGTATACCGTACCGTACCGGTACCAAGCCTAGGTCGAAATACCGGTACGGTACGGTACGGTATTGCGAACCTTGGTTAAAACAGATAACAGAATAATTGAATTAGTTTATGTGTATCCAAAGACTCCATAATATAAAAATTATAGTCTATCTCATCCATGTTTACGGAAGTAAGACCTCTACCATGATGTCAATTCATCTTCAGGATAAGTTCCTTTGACAATATCAAATGCTATAACTACATAGTAAACTTGTGGGTTCAACCAGTTATGGTACAAAATCTTAAAAACTTCCTATCAAAATGTACAAGCGTTGGATAATTTAAAAATGAAGTCATCTACCCACATTTACCTTATTGAAACTGCAAATGGCAATAAAATGTGCAATCTGACTTAAGCACTTCCTCATTTACAAATATACATTTTTCTAAATCTATTCCATGTTCAAATAAGCAAACATTAGTTAAAGTGCACAAGAAAAAGAAAATCCTGAATATAGGATGGGTAGGAGGAGCCTTTCCCTTGGCTTGATTTATGGCCTGAAACTATACTTGTGGATCAATTCAATTGAATATATATCTCTAGATGATATTTATGGTAAAGAAACAGCAAAATCTGATAAAAACTAGAAACCAAGTGTGTAGCATCTTCAGTGGTAATAATTACTAGACAACTATGATTAAACTCATGCTCCGGAACTAGTGAACAAGTCCCTTGTTCGTTCTCTCAGAACTAGTCTTTTTTACCAAAAAACAAAAAACCACCATAAAACATGTACAGCACCAAAAAAAGATCATCTATACACAATTTTTCTTTATAAGAACCAAAAAAACCACTATGACAAATCATGTGTAGAACCATAAAAGAATTGTCACTTCCATTAATGATGAGCACTCAAATATAGACATCAGTAGATGAATTTTGCAGTACATGTCAGTGTGTAATTAGCAGTTCAATATCCAAGAAATCATAGCCCGCTTCCTATATGCTAAACAAAAAAACTAAAATCATCATATCAAACTTCCACATCACCCGACTTTGGTACGGTACACTAAATCCATATTGGTATGCAAGGTTCAAATTCGGTCAATTTTCTGGTCATATAATTTGAGGTCAGTGGGAAATGACAAATTGTTTGAATCAAGGGAAGGAGGGGAAAGAGAAGAAGAGAAAATCAAAATAGAAGAAAGTAAAAAAGTCTTTGGCTACAACTGCCATACAGAGAAGACATTGCTACTGTTTGCTTCTTATAACAACCATCACATTTACTATTTGCACCCTTTTTTACAAAATCTACCATCCAACATCATTTAATACAGAAAGGATATAGGTAAAGGTAAGATAAAAAGGATATAGGGAAGGGAAAAGGAAGGATAAAGGATAATCATTAATCACTTAAGGAAATAAGAAAACTATCATTGAGAATGCAAATGTAATAGGATACAACTTGATCTTCAATATTATTTTATATGTATTACCCCTAGTTCATTTGCATGGTGATTAAGAAGAATTCTAGCTATAGTGAAGCTTATCATGAACTTCAAAGCTGTAGACAGTAAGTTTTGATCTTTTGTATGATACATACTATAACTTTTACTTTAATAACATATATACAATATGATAATTGTTTTTTTTTTAAACAAACATGTAGTGCCTTTTTATACAATATCTTTGTATTTTGTATTACAAGCTTTGCATGTGTTTATATTGGAAAGATACATACACTATGAAATATGAAGGTAAAAGAATATTTTAGAATGAATTTTAAATTTTCTTCAAATTTATTTTGTTGTTAACCTTTTTCTTGTCTATATAATTTTTGTTTCTAGTTAATTATTTTATCAACCGATTCCAATATCTGATTAAAACAATCCTATCAATTTCAATCATAATGTCACTAGTTAATCTCAATCCTGAAACTTGTGTTGTGAACTATGCATTATACTTTTTCCTAGTTCTAAGTATTAAGTCCACAAAAAACAGGATATGTTTATCCAAGAGATGACTAGCAGGTCCTAACACAAGTTCAGAATTGGAGGATGCACCTGCTAGCTCATGTAATGAATTTTCTTACATGGTATATAGAAGATTAGATGGGCACTCGTCTTTAACTTCTTTAATTAACCTCTTAAATCAATCTACAATGTTCAGACCATTATATGTGTTGAACAAGGGCTTCAAATTCCAAGCAAACCCCAAGTGATCATAAATTCATGATCCCCACATAAAATATCAAAATAAAGGAGTAAAAGGGACATCCATCAAAATATAACAAGAAAAAAATGTTTACAACTTTATAATCAGTAGAAAAAATTTGGTTTAGTTCTATATTTTATTGATCATTTCATTTGTATATGAGATCAAATTAAGAGTAAGCGCTAATATTTGCCAAAAGCGCAATGCTATATAGTCAAATTACAAGTGATTTAAAATTAATAATGTATCACTTAACAGAATTAAGATAAGCAACTATCTAAAAAGCAAAACATGCAAAATGATACTCTTCTACTGCACCTGAAGATCAGAATAAATAGCTAGCTCAAACTTGAGAGGTCTTGTTGGATTACGAGCATCACATGGCAAAACCACAGACCAACTGCATAATAAATGAAATAATGATCAGCAACTTCATAATTCCTAAAGGACGAAAGTTGATATATCCTCTATGTTACACTAATGTTCGATGGTGTCTGTAAAGGAAAAAGCTGATATGAACAAAAAAAGACTATAAGGATACACAGACATTTTTCGTGTCAACAGTTGTGGTACAAGTGCTTCCAAAAAGCCTGGCCCATAAACCTCCCGCAGCCATCCAGTAAAAAGAGAAATTCGACTCTGAACACAAGCAATATCAGAAAAAGGACCATATATAATTTACAGATGATGCATCAAATTTAGAACCAAACACCGAGACTGGAGCTAAATGGTAAATTGGATTTAGCAGCAGAAAGAATACCTCAATTGCCCGGACAACATTGCAGTGCCCCTTTTCTCTAGCCAAATCAAGTGCAGTATGACAATCATCATTCATGATGAAAGGATTTGCTGTGATATTTAAGAAATGAGCATTCTAATAACATCAATAATAAAAAAACATGAGGAAAAAGTATTTTGAAGAGCAAGTGATACAGAAATACCTCCATTAGAAAGAAGGAGATGAACAGTCTGCTCAAGGCCTCTTTTAGCAGCATGGTGCAAGGGAGTTCCTGCATGACACCCTACAGTGAAAAAGTAAAGGCACTTAGACCTTTATATGCAAGTTTCCATGTCCAATAATTCAATAAAAATGCAAATGCAAAAAATCAAAGTGTATCTACTCACGAAATTTCATGAAATTGCAGAAAAAGAAACTAAATTCACTTCTGCTATCTGTAGGCTTTATGTGATAATTCGTTTGCTTGCAAATACAGTTCTTTAATAAAGCACACAGAATATATTTGTGCAACAAAATCCTTTGCACAACATAGCCATTTGCATAGAACAAACAAGCACGAAAACATTACCAAACTACAACAACAATTCATTAATCAATACAGAGGGAGATAACCGGAGATGAGAAGCAAAGGGTGGAGAGTTAAGTTATGTCCTCTTGTTTGGTAATAGAGTTGGGAGGATAACAGAGAAAAAAAATAGTAAATCACACAAACATGTGGACACACAGAAACCCAATTTTCTAATAACAAAAATTGGAGAAAGTTGGAGAAGAAAAAGTTCAATTGATCCTGTATTTCCACTCTTCACTGGAAAAGGGGAAACAAAATTTTCTTTTCTCGTATCTTCCCTTCTCTTCATTTTTTTCTTTCTGAGCACCATTCATGATAACTGAATATAGTTGTTTGAGTACCTGTCTAAGGAAACATACATGATCATAGAAAAGCAAAATCATCACACTATTCTGGTTCTTGCCCTCTTGCATAGAGACAGATAAATCATGTAACTAGTTCATCTCTACTAAAGAACCTGCTAAACTAAACCTGGCAAATGCTCCATTTTGTTGTAATTTTAAAACCTAATATAGGTCGCATGGCGAATTTATTTCCATTATATGTGACACGACATGAACTTGGCACCAGAAGTAGCTTCTCACCGGGCCTGTACACGTTGACATTGGCACCCAACTCGATCAGAATCTTCGCAACGGGCAAGAGATCATGCCTCAAGCACGCGACGATCAAAGGGGTCTTCCCTTCTTTATCCATCCACTGCACAAATATACAACCCCATCCAAGAAACCAATCCTTTCAAAATCCTCCGCAGAATTGGCTTCCGGCTAGGCGAAATTGGAATTCCAACCCATCTTAATTGACTCAATGAATTCAACACTGGACATCGCTTGGCTTACCTCAAGTCCGGCGCCTTGGCTGCGGAGGGCTTTGATCCCCTCGATGTTGCCATAATTGACCTGCTGGTAAAGCAATTCCTCCTTGGATTGTTGCAACCCCATCGAATAGTCCTTACTCCGGAGATCGAAAAACCTAATTAAACCACAGAAATGAAATTAAAGCCGCGAGAACAATGGATATAGTTCACCCAACAAAATTGATGAAACGATGAACAGATGAACCTTTTATGGAGGAAGAGAATCACCGGGACGACCAAATCGACGGAGACCAGGGACGAAAGCGAGAGGACGTTTCTGTTTTCCTTCGACGGGAAGGAATCGAACTCCGCGTCAATAAATGGTTCCACCAAAGTTTGTAAATTGAGGATTACGAGACCGTCGAAACCAATTTTCTTCCTAATGCACGGGTGGCTGAGCGCGCCACTGTTTTAGGGAATGAGTTGTAATGAGATTTATCTTTTTTTATTTATTTTCTTTTGTAATAAGCGCCGGCCCCTAAAATTCATTCAATTTCTTTATTATTTTTCCGCTGCTATTTTAACTTATTTATTTCCCACTTACCAAAAAATTTTAATTAAGACAAAAATTGACTTCGATCATTCATTTATTTTTTTACCAAAAAAACCTATAGTGTGCTCTTTTCACATTTTTCAAAAATAGCTCCTATTAATCTTAAGCTTGATTATACATTATGAACGTGAACCGGTCCACCTATATGGGCCAATTGTCATTATACTATGACCAATTCAATTTCTTAATTACATATAGTATTCTTGTAGTGTTCCATGTAGGTACCAAAAATATTATATATTTTTAAACATATTATAACAAATAAAAAAATCTTCCTATTTGACTGTTCATATTCTTAAACTGATGAAGATATATATTTGAAATTTTACTTTTGTATATTAATTGGTTTCTATTATGTTATGAATCTATTTGTTTTAATTATAATATTTTTGAACAGATTTATAGCATTTTAATGGAGATGTCAAAAATACTACAACTATACTCAAAATCAAAAAGGTCTCCTTATTTGATTTTTTTAATCCGAAATCAATTAAAAAAATCTCTATTTGCTTTAGTTATAATGTTTTTTAATAGACTTAATAGATATGTCAAAAATTTTCCTTATTTGATTGTTTTTAATCCTGAATCAATAAAGATATCTACTTGAAATTCTACCTTTGTATATGAGTTGATCTTTTTTGGTTTACAGTCCATTTATTTTAGTTATAATAGACATGTCAAAAATACTACAAGTCTATTCAGAAACAAAAAGGTCTCCTTATTTGATTTTTTTAATCCTAAATTAATGTAGATACCTATTTAAAATTCTACTTACTGTGTTTTGCTTTAGTTACAGCGACTGGCAATTAAGGAGAATATGAATCAATAAAATTTTATGGATAAGATTAGGGTTGAAAAGATGATCAAGGATCATAAGATTCTAATTATCATTAAGAATGGTATCAGTTCTTATAAATTTTCTTAAACTTGGGGCAATAGTAATGAGCAGCTAGGAATCAATGCTCCATATATACTTCCAAACATAGTTTTCATGAGGGTCCAGTTATCATTAACAATGATGTTAGAGAGGGAATTAAACCTAAGTTGAAAAATATATTGTTTAACTATGATATCACCTAAGTTCTTATTAGGTTTTCTTAAACCTGGAAACAGCAGTGAGGAGCATTGAGAAGTTGAGGCTCAACATAGACTTCCAACCTTGATTATGATGAGAGTCCATTTATCTGCTTTAAATGAAGTGATAAAGGTTTTACAGTAACCATTGCAATGGGGTGGAAGGTCTAATCCATTAATGATCAAGTGGAATATGAAATGATTAGATTTTATGAATGAGACCAGTGTTAAGAAATAACACTGATTAAGGACCATAAGATTTCAATTATCATTAAAAAATGATATTAGAGATAAAATTAAAACTCCAGACATTCTGGATATTAATATAGATAGCCCAATAACTGAGGAGTATATTGTGTAACCCGAGTTTAACCAAATAACAGTACCATCCCAGTTTTATGACTTTTTTAAAGATCATGAGATTAATATTGAATTTCTTCTTTCAAACTCATTTATTGAATTTTAGAGCTATCTGATGTATGGTAGAAGTTAGTAAACAAACTACATTGCTTCAGTTCAGTAACCAAAGCTTAGTACTTGGGAATAAGAATGATAAGAATCACTCAACTAGACACCACTACGTAAGCACCGAGTCTTAAAACGATTAAAGTCAATCACCTGAACCTCCTCTCCACAACGCTAACGTTCTTAGGCTTTCTGAACTCCACTCTCTGAATCGCATGCTACTGATGCTGACTCTGCTGATGAAGATCTTTCTCCTGCTTTAGACTCTTATTCTCTAATTACTGCATCTATATAAGACACCCTTATTTATCTTAGTGCTGCTGCGCCAACTCCTAATACTGCATCGTCTCTAGTTAAAGATCCAGCTTATGCATATGTAGCTTCCTTTTTTATTTGATTCTTCCTCGAACTCTCAAACATCAAACACTAGACTTCACCTTTCTCTCAAACATCAAATATTGGACTTCTCCTTTCCGTCAAATACTGCTTCTCTTGCATAAACAACAGGTAGAGGTTGAAAAACTAGACTTGTGAGCGCATGTGCTATAGAAGTTTGTAAAGACAGCTTCTAATCCTTCTCCTGATCCAGCATATGATCTTTCAACCGATTCTGATACTTCTTTTGAAGCAGCTTCTTCCAGAGCTCACACTGCTATTGGGCCTGGTACTAATCCTAGAACTGTTGATTGACTTTCGACTGCTTCAAATCCCGATACTGCCTATGATCCTACATCTGATCTCGTCGACTCTACTTGACTTTCTGCTTCGTCTTGCCCGACAAACTCATTAGGCGCATCCCGAACTCGACTTGAAGTTCATCGTTGAATTTAAGATTACCTGCTTAACCGCTCCACAAGCATTCAAAAAGATCTAATATCGTTGCCAACACAGTCAAACGTCCCATCCTCCGCAAGTCTTGTTTTCATGGAAGTGCACAAATATAGTATAAGAAAAGTAAGTAAACAGCCTATTACTCTAAAACTCAATAACTCGCATTAGCTGATATGAATACTCTAAACTCAATAAGTTGCATTAGCTTATACGAATACTCTGTTAGTGCAACTCCAAGCAAACTCAACAAATACTGAATTTCATCTTAAGAGCTCATATATAATTTTTTATCTTTTATTCTAACTCGCAAGTCAATACTTCATCTCTTACCGAGCACTTGGTATAGATTAATATGTAAAGTAGAACAGGGCGAACCTCTCTCTCTTCCCGTCAGTGATTTTAATAGCCACTCGGGCGCTCGCTTAGGTGCTCGAGCGAGGTGAGGCGAGGCCCGAGCGCCTCGCTTCACTTCCAGGCGGCGCACTTCAAAGAGGCGCCGCCTGGGCGCTCGCCCGAGCCTAGGCACCGGGCGCTTCGGGCGAGCGCCTGGGTTAAACCAGGCAATCGAACCAGCGTTTTAGGTCTGGTTCGGTCTCCGATGCTTTAGTGGGTTCAATTGAACCAACTAAAGCACTGATATCAACTGCCGCTGCCCAACCCTAACCCTGCTTGCGTTCATGCTACCACTGCTGCTGCTCGCTGCCATTGTCACCGCTCACCGCTCCCGCTGCCGCTGCTCGCTCCCGCTCCCGCTGCTGCTGTCGCCGCTCGTCGCTCCCGTTGTCGCCGCTGCCGCTGCTCGCTGTCCCCGCTCCCGCTGCTCGCTGCCGCTGTCGTCGCTGTCGTTGCCACTGTCACCGCTCGCCGCTCTCGTTGCCGTTACTCACTTTTACCGCTGTCGCTGCACCCTCGGTCTTCCCTTACACTCCTCTTCCTTCTCCTCTTTCGAAAGTATACTGTATACTGTTAACAGTATACTAGTAACAGTAATGTATTTGTATTTATTAGATTAATAATATATTATTTTAATTTTAATATTATTAAATAATTATATTTATTAATTATATTATATATTTTAATATTTTAGCGCCTCGCTTCGCTCGGACGAGCGCCTCGGGTGTTTTTGGACCTTGGCGCCTTTTGGCACCTAGCGCTTTTTAAATCACTACTTCCCGTAAGCATAGATCAAAGCAACTCACTAACACACTTTGGCGAACTCACCTTTCTAGCAACCCTTTTGCCAAACTCCACTTTTAGTTCAGAACCCAACGTTACCTCACTGCTTAATCATTACCTCACTGCTCACTCTTAACAGGAGCAGAACCTTGATACTTATTCTTCTCGAGTTGACAATTTAGGTTAAGGGCAATCAAGCAAGCAATAAGAGTTGTGAAATCTTTTTGTTTTTGGCTACCCAATATCATCTTTCCTTTCAAGCACTGAGGCCGAGTCAAAGAGTACATGGCAAGAATCTTTCTTTCGAGCTAAAGTATATGAGTTTGGAGATTACTCTCTCTTTATACCTGACACCCTTTTCTTCAATTCCAAGAATAGAAATTATAAACTCCCCTACATGCACTGTAGATTCTCTTACTACAACACTAGCACCTGACCCAAAGTCAACACACCTCTTCTTCTTCGTGGGCATTCGATTCAAGATGATCTTATAGATGTAGATGAAACAGGAACTGCTAACGCTTCAATGCCGGTAATTGATTCAGATCCAGATCTTGCTTTATACCCAGATTTCAGTTAAAAATCACTTGTTACTGATTCTCTCAACAACTTGAATGGAGGCTTAACCGCAGATTCTCTTACTGCTGATTCTCTCAGAGACTTAGACACTCTACTTGCAGACTCTACTTCAACACTAGCATCTGAGCCTCTATCCTCTCCACTTAGTCTTGATCTTGATCCAAAGTAAAATCATTCTTCAACTTCAATTTATCCTCTAACTCTCCCTGGTATTGAACTTGCACCGAGGAAATCAAATCAATCAAATTATGCATATCGAGCATTAACTTATGTATCCTCTCAGTGAAGAAATGAATCTCTAGAGCCCGCTTATAAAATAGGGATGTCGGAAACACTTCTCTCTCCACAACCTGACTTTGGCCAGTCACCTCTCACCACTTCATTTGAAGAACCATTTGTTGGTGATTTGTTCAGAAGCAGAAGCTCTTTTTTCTCTGATAACTCTTTCTTGCACAGAGTCAAGTTAAAAAGGAATTGAATCTCTTTCTTGCATCGAAGAGTACTCCCTTAGCGCTGAGTTTGATCCATATCTTTCTCCTTATTCTTTACGATACTCTATATGATACTCGACGAGCTTTTGAATTAAAGAATTTTATAATGTCATTGTAACTGACCTGACTTGCTGCTTAACCGCTCTGTTATGTTACGTGGGCAGAGAGCTTCATTGGGACTTTGGACACTAATTTCTGTCCCGCTGCGCTGACTTTAGCCTCTGATT